TTTGCATCCACCGCCAAGCGCCTCCAGATCTAGGAAAGCGCCGCGTTGTCGACAACATCTGATTGGCCGGCTGACCTAATATTCAAGCCCAATGGCTGTGCTGACGGAGCTTGTAAACACCGATTTGGCCAGTGCGTGCAGCCCCACAGTCAGATGTGGTAGTCAGATGGTGGTGATTGGTCGGTGGTCGGCCGTTCGCAGAGCCCGACCGCCATGTCGACATTGGCGGGAGAGTTTGTACAAAACCGGCTGTACGGGTACCGTTACTTATTTGAGGACCCGGTGGGATCGGCTTCCAATACGAGATAAGGTCACATCAATTGCAAACCGCGAAGCTTGGCCTTAACGTTATAGCGGTCAATTGGGTAATTACGTAAAAGAGAAATGCTATTTGGGTCTTGAGATCACTAATATCGGGGTATTCATGATAGCCAGGGTTTATATGCAGCTTGAGGCACTTTTTTCCATGATACATATCATTTTCTTTAAATTGACGCCTCAATTCGAGCTTAACTGATACTAGTCTCGGGCAGGCCAAACGAATCTTAACTGATATAATTTCATAACATCAATTATCACTCATTAGTTCTAGGCCTGTGGAGACATCTTGGTACATATATATATACTAACATACATGTATGTACAACATCAACAACAGACATTCGGACATCTCAGCAAGAAACACCTGCTGGAACGTTCATGCAATTCGTGCTCTTCTTCCCGCCGGTAACCTTAACGTTCGTCCAGTGGAAGTTAGTACAACTGCCGACACCACACTGGATCTGAATGTTGATAGCGTCGCTCGGCACGGTTCCGGTCACATTCTCCAGCACAAAGTTGTTAATCTTCACACCGTTGGTCGGCGAGTTCTTCGTTCCTCCATACGACTGGTCGACGATGATACCGTAGTCAACGATACCGGTCGTGCTGCCACCGTTGATTTTGATATTCCGATACGTTATATCTGACACCGATGCGCTTGCCCCGGACACTGTTTTGATACGAACAGCCTGTTGTGACTTCTCGACCGTGATATTTTCGTATGTGACATTGCGGACGACGGCGCCGTCTGCGACGGACCCGATTGATAGGCCGTGGCTACCGGAGCAGAAGCTGTTCGTCATGAGGATGTTCTGGCCGGTATTCACATTCATGCAGTCGTCCTGGTTATAGACACTGACATTGGTGATGAAGACTCCGTCGGCATTATTGATGTTGAAGCCGTCAGTGTTCTTGCCGAGTGCAGTGCCCGCCTTGTCATCGATGACGATATTCTTCACGACTAGATTGGTGACTCGGTTCAGGCTGAATGAGTTCTTGGGTGCATTGAGAATCGTGATGCCGTCGAGGACTGAGTCAACGAGGTTGTTCGCCTTGAAGAACTTGGGCTTGGTCTTGCCGCCTGAGCCTCCTTGGCCATCCCAGTAGAGAGCTCCTTGGCCGTCGAGGACGCTTCCAGGGTCACCCTTAACAGTGATCTTATTCCCACTGATAGATACGAGCGAGCCCTCCCACTCAGCGTAGCCAAAGGTCGTGTGCCCTCTGAATATGACCTGTCACAGTAAACCCGTCAGCACGTAGACATTACAAACAGCAGGATACAGGATGAATAGTACCGTCGTTCCATCCTTTAGCTTCTCAAGATTCAAAGTCACCCCGGACGGTACTGCCAATGCCGACAGGATGATGGTTGAACAAGACGTCTTCGATACGCTGGCGGAGCTATGTCCTTTGGACCCGCTGAAGATGCATGTTGTCGCTCGTTTGGCGAGGGCGTTGTTTAGGTCTGGTGCAGCTGTCGGCTCAGGTGCAGGGGCCGCCAGGGCAGATGCACACAGCAGCAGAGCCGCCACGAACTTCGAAAGAATCGCCATATATATTACAAAGTCGCCTGTGCGAGGGATAACTATATCATTCAACGAATAGGCTTGCCTTCAGAATCAAGCTTTGCCAATGCAATCAATACCACAGGAAGCGACTCGAAACGACTCTGGTCGTGAATTTATACATAGAAGCCGGCATGGCGAAAGTCTTGACGTATACGCTTAGCGGTGGTATATTAGCGGAACAATGGTAGCCAGGTCACCGTGCTGCAGGTCGACCACGGCCTCTCGTCGGGTCCGACCGAGTCGATATTAATATATTAACAAGCATCTCATATAGAGTACCCTGGATTTCTCCACGAATAACCTCGCGAGTTCCCGCGGAAAATTGTGCAGGTAGACGGGAAATCATGAGGTTGCTCGGGTGGGGCGCTTCGTCTTACGATTGGCTTCCGTCGCGGCTCCTCGGACCGCAGATGCAGGTAAAGTGTATTGCAACTCCACTCAATGATGGAGTGATGTTGAATCGAGTAGGTGCAAGTTGCCGTCATCGAAAATATGATGCTTTTGACTGGGAGAAAATGATGTTTATAATATTTATATATGTGCGCATAAGTACTACGGGCTCACAGGTGTTTGATATTTCAATCACTGCATCTTGCATCTTGGTGTCGGTTGACTTCTACCATACGATCAACGTGGAAGTCTGGGGACCTTCAACCTAGAGGCAAAGTAGCCAAGCCTTATATAGTGATATTCGTGGTGCTTGGCAGTATGAAGATCCACAAGGATTCGACCAGGTTACGGATTCCCCAATTCGCGTATTCGAACCATCCGATGAACTCCTTCGCAAATTTTTCACATTCAACTTCCATTTATAATCCGCATTTTCTTTCCAACCTGACATGTACGACCATAGAAAGAGGATAATTGGGTATCCCGTCCGCTCTGCCTTACACAAGCCTCTTATCGGCGACGTAGTAGCATGGTTAGCGATAACATGCGAATGGTCGCTGTTGTACATGACTTATTCTTTTGTTCCTCCGTGATTTGTTTTTGTCTTGGTATATTTTTTGACGCTGAAATATTCGAAATATCGATAGATCCATGACAAGCATACAAGAAGATATAACTAAGTAATTATGTACCATTTGTGGTCGACTCCCACATAAAACCTAGAGACCCCTGCTACCTTGGTCCCCTCCCCGTGGTCCATTTTGCCGCTGCCAAGGGTTGAGTCCACCGCTCTGGGGGTCCCTATTAATCCACCACGCATCGTCCAAATACATCGACTCATCAAAATCTTCGAAAACACCCGCCAAGTCGTCATCATCTGCGAATTCCGCATAGTCCAGCGGGTTGAAGCCCTGCTGTGCATTCGCCTGGACATTCTGGTTCAGGATCTGCTCCGCCGTCTGTTCGTCGTCGCTGTCAGCGAACCTAAAGGGGCGAGTGTTCGGAGAAGACCCGAGACTGCGGGAGCGCGCTAGGACGGATGAACCGGGCTGGTAGCGAACTATGGGGTTCATGTAGAATTGCAGCGGACGGGGGCGGGTACGGCGGGGCGGTGTGGTGCCTTTATATTCCTCGACGCCGTCATCGGCGAAGCGGCGGTAGTCGACGCTATCGGCGTCAATATTGTTGTCGCGCAGTTGGTCCCAGGGAGTGTCGAAATTCGCCCAGTAGTCGTCGTCGTCTCCGGGGAGGAGGTTTTCATCCAGGTTGAGGGGTTCCTCTAGGCTGGTTTCGAGTATGTTGATTGGGGCTCTTGGCCGCCCGAACTCTTGTGCGATTTCCTGGCTACCAACGAGTTCGGTCTGCGAGCCAGTGACGGTGAGGTAGACTGGGAGTGCGCTGAAGCGGTTGGAGACGGGTTGATCGAGGTAGGACAGGTCGACAGTGAGCTCGGCCGGATCTTCAGAGAAGTCGAGGTCGATGTAGGCGATTTGGGTGTTAGAGCGGCAGCCTGAGACGGAGAAGATGGCGATAGCCACAGGTTTTAGATCGTCTTCAGCGAAGGTTGAGAAAGTCATGCTCTGGAGAAGCAGTCCTTCACGGTCGATTCTGAACTCTATACAACGTCCACCAGAGTTTCCGGGGACACTCGCGGCCGCTGTGTAGGTACCATCTGCATTATTGTTCGAGAGCTGTCGAAGGAGCGGCTGCTCGTTGGTATTATCGCTCAGGTCGAGTTCGTCGCTGAGGAATGTGGATAGCCGTCTACCCGAGGAAACACGACCCGCTGATTGGAGGCGGTTACCAGAGTAATCTGCTATCGGCCCGTATATCGGCCGCGACGGTAGAGACGAGATGCGGCCCGCGATGTTGATACCGGTACCTCCCGTCGCGGGTGTCTCCGCACGGCCAAGGTTAATCTCTTGGAGCCCGGAATTGCTGAGATCGAGAGCGGCAGCGGGCTCCCGGACGGTCGTACCAGGCCTTTCGAGAGTGCTTGGGTCAAATATCTGTTCTCCACTATCTTCGTCAGATGGGCTGGGGGGTATGGCGAATAGCCCGGCGGGCCTGAGCTGGAAACTGAGGAAATAGGCACTTGAGAAGGCCGGGATGCTAGCAAGCGGCAGCAATAGCCGTTTATCGAAATGCATCGCAAATGATACTTTCCGAGTGAACAGTACTTTTAATTGAGTACGGCTGGAATGGCAATATGAGTATCAGCATTCAGATGCGTATACACATTCCTGCAACGATTAAGGCAAGACACGAATGTATGTACCATGCGACTCAGGTGCACATGGCGGGCATATGGCGGAGGTGAGATCTATTGAGCTCATTTTACGAAAACTACTAGCCGTCAAACCCTGTATTAGTATTTGAGCAAGATTAATTAAGCATAGGCATCTCCATGTCCAACGTCTTCAAGTCTTGCAGCCGATCAGCCTGAGTACTCGAGTAGGAGAGAGTTAAAGTAGTTCTGCGTTGTCGACACAAAATGCAACAGTCCGGTCATGAAGTCTCCGGGTAACGGTCAAATTCATTTCACGATCGCTGTCTACCTAGGTATAAACCTCTACACGGCTGTAGTTATTAGACTTAACAACCCCTATGACTGACTGTATGGCTTGGCATACTAATATTGACTATTCGAATATCCATGCAATTAAACGGCCAATTGTTATATTACTGGTACAGGAATAAAAAAAAAATAAGAGAAGAGAATGACCAGTAGGCGATTTGAACGCCTAGCCTTTCGATACCTAGCAGCTTGCGCTGACTGGAGTCGAACGCGCTACCATTGCGCCAACCAGTCATATTCTGGCCCGGAATGCAACCGGCATCTATCAAGGCAGCTGGCTGCGGGAAGAAGGAAGGTCGACATGGCGATACGATTGTTTATTTACGGCGTCATTGTGTTGCGTGTGTTGGGCGGGTTGGCGGTCAAATGTCAAACGACGTTGCCGTCACGTGCCGCCGTTGTTATTATTTTTTGTTGTTACACACGCCACCTGCCACAACACGTTTTGGCAACCGCCATCTCGGTTCTTTATTTCTCCTGTCACGTCACGACATGTCGCCCTCTTCCTCCTCCCTCTCTCCTTCCTCCCTCTCATCGCCTCACGAGACTGCCATCTGAGGATGATCATGACGTCTCTACAGAACTTCATCAACAGGCGTGCATCCTCTCGAAACTCGGCTGTCGCTCGGGCCGAGTCCCCGGTCAAGCAACAGTCGGCGTTCGGCTCTGCTACATCCGGAGCCTCGCATATACCCCTGGCAGCTTCGCGCGTGCCTTCGAGATCGACTAACCATTCGCGGCCCGAGCTACGTGACGACTCCGACGACTTCAAAGACTCCGAGATCCTGTCGCTGGAAAACCAGGACGGCGACGGCTACGACGATGAGGACGACGAGGAGCTAGCTTCCCAGAATGGCAATGGTGGTGGTGGAAATTTTCTGCACGACTTTGACAGGGATGAGGTTGGCGGAAGGTACCTCGTGAATAACGGCGGCCACAAAAACGGCGTCGTTACGAACGGGCAGGGCTACACCAATGGCAACGTCAATGGCAATGGAGGAGAGGCGTACCGCTGGCAGAATAACCTGCCGCCCAGCCACGAGGAGGACGACGACTCTGACGAAGAGTCGGACGGCAGATTGACACCAAAGATACGGATTGCCGCCGATGAGCAGCTTGCTGAACGGTCGCGGACACCTCCCGGGCGGCGAGACGCAGACCTCGCCAGCGAGCAATTGCAGCAGGAGCAGTTCTACACTTCGCTAGAGTTCGAAGACCCCGCAGGCGACAATTCCCGACCATCGACGGGCGATAGCATCGATGAGGCGAGGCCGGATATCAATGGAGCGAAGGGCAGTCAATCGTGGGAGGAGATTGACCGGGAGTATGCGCAGCAGAACAAGACACCTGCTACGCCGGTGCGGTTCAGCGTCTCCGGGCTGTTCGAGGTCCTTAAAGGCATGGGCATGATGCTACGGGGATCCGAACGGCTCGTCCTTACTGGTGAGATACACTATACATATATTCTTATCCTCTAGTTGCATTAGCTGACTGGACTTTGCAGACCACCTCGCCAATTACAAGCACTTTTCGATCGTCAACCCCTCGTTGCCATATCAAATCCTCATTCCTTATAACCACAGTCACCCACTCGAACCCACCAAGATGCTCTCCGAGATTGCAACCATCGCCTTCATCCGGCGCAATTGCCCGTCGCTACCTACTCCCGAAATTGCCTACCACAATCTTGACGTCACGAACGCCGCCAAGGTCCCCTTCCTCGTTATACGCGCCCTCAAAGGCCGCGCCATTGCCTCCCTCGACGGCGGCGTTCCTGCGGCTCTCAAGGACCGGAAGCGCTGCGCCGCGCTTCTCGACGGCCTAGCCAAAGTCCAGTCTCAAATTATGAAAGCCACCGCCTCGAACTCCCTCACCGTCGACCGCATCGGAAACATCCTGTTCAAAACCGACGCCAAGAAACCTAAGCAGAGCTTCGTCGTCGGCCCCTGCCTCGCCGCTGACGACGACGCCGGCACCGACGTCGACTCCAGCGTTCCCATCACCGACCTTGCAGACCTCTGTCTGCAAGTCTTCCAGGCCACCGAGAGCTCTTCTCTTACCGCTACAGCCGTCCCCGTCAACCCCAAGGAACTACGGTCTGCCAAACGCCGTCTTGCCGGTCTCCTCGGCCTCCTCCCGTCGCTACCGCAGCAGTACGCTGAGCTGACGCTGTTCCACAACTCGCTCAGCCTATCCTCCATTCTCATCGACCCAGCCACCTCCGCTATCACCTGTGTCCTGGGCTTCCGCGATGTCTACGCCGTCCCGATGGCGCTCACGCCCGTCTATCCCGCGGAAATCCGCCCCGCAAACGCAGAATGGACGCTATGGATCGGTGGCGACGGCGGGATGGACAAACACTGGGGGCTCAGAAGCATCTACGAGACGCGGATGGCAAAATACAACGCGCGGTTCGCCGGCGACATATGGGACGACGAGGAGCTAGGCGGCTGGCTGCAGGTGTGGGAAGTGGTCAACGGGGGCGTGGAAGTCTGGGTGAAGAAGCGGGCTTGGATCGAAGCCGAACTTGAGAGGTTGAGGAAGCAGTAGCGCCCGGCCTCGTGCGCTGACGGATAGTTGCGAGATTGAACATATTGTCAGAGGGTACATTTGCGCGTATATGTCTTCTTTTTATTCAGCATATAAGCGTCATTCTGTTTCTCGTTCGCCAACTGATTTTTTTGCCTGCCTTGCTATTTTTTTCATTACTTTTGGCTATTGGCTTTGTGCCTCAGACCGACCGGCATTTTCAGGCGTTTTCTTACTTGTTATTTAATAATGTTGACATGAGGGGATGGTTTGACGAGCCTAAGACATGCATATTAGACAGCCGGCGTTTTCTACAGACATTATACGCCGACATTGTCACATACAATGATATTTTCTTATAACCTTGCACTTCAATATACTATATCTTCGCGATACTCCACCTATAGACACCGTCTCCCGTTGCAGCGCTGCTATACGTAACAGCGATATATGGAGCTTGCCTACACAACCACAGGCATTGTAGGATGGAAAGGCAAATATCGAGAATTTCAGTGAGATAGAACTCTCGTCACGCTGGCCAGAAGTCCTGATTAGGGCAACACTCCCAATCGAGTGGATGGGATGTACAGCCAACATCCCAGCAGGGTTTGTGTAACAATGGCACGTGATGGCACGAATACGTCTAGTGTCCGTATCGGTAGATGGTATGACTGTAAGGCATACATTCGAAGGACTTGGGAATGGGAGATCCATGAAGCGAACTGATCGTGAGGGATTAATAGTTGGCTACCCCATTGTGCTTTTACAGGTCAGAGTACTTCAGACTTAAGCTTCTTCGTAATTCTATATATCTCCTTGGGCTCCCTATACATGCTGTACATACCGGGATGGAAATATAGCTGTGCATAGGAAGATTATATAAATTTAATAAGTTGTTAACATGTTATATATATGTAGTTTCAAAATCCAGGTCTCCATGAATATAATCTAAGATTCGGTGCTCTCCATGTAATCTCGCGGACTACTTTTTATTTTTATTTTTACAGCGTTCACACTTTACGTCTTGAATTATTGATATCAAGATGGAGCGCCGCATATACGCCCATACCTCTATATAAAGCCATATATATTCCGCTGATCTCAGTAGACCAAGTACATGCATACTATATCTATCAAGAACTTCACTTTAAAACTTTGAGACGGATCGGAATACCCGGCCGTCTCGTCCGAGCCAGACCATCGAGTGGTGTTGATTACGCAATATACATATGAAATTCATATCCTTAAATCTCCCACATTCAAGCCAACTCCAACAGCCAAGAATACAGCTATAATCTCTGATTCAACCCCGGAGTATTAATATACATGGTGTCGACGTCGTTTCCTCACACAAAAGATACAAAGCGCCAACTTCAAGTCATTAGCACATCGATCTTATCGTCGTGTCTTCCCAAGCTTATCTACGCGAATTTTATATTGAAACTCCGAGGTCGACGTATCTTTATCGATATATCTCGTTCATTATTTCATTTCGTTTTTTGATTGATTCGTAAGTAGCTACAGCTTAGCTATTCTCCCCCGTCCTTCCTGGTTCCCACCTCCCGCCATGGATATCCCACATCTACCATGATATCCAGTAATCCACAAAAGTCATATAGTTCCACCACCCTTATCGTAAACCATGCATACAGCCGGCAAATCAAATGATCGAAAGCCTGATAAACCCGCGTCGCCGCCGCTGTATACAGAATGAAAGAAGGAAAAAATACACCAAACCCACCTGATCATAATATCGAACGAAAAAACGCCACGCATGCTGGAATCAATAAACCGATATAAACCCCGCATGCAGTATCATTGCCGCGCGCCCGCTGTCCGTGCGCGATAAAGAAAGATCGAACGAGTGAAGAAAGGAAGGAAAGATGGAAGGAAGGAGTGAATGAATGCAGAGGGAGAGAGATCAGAAAGAGGATAGCGAAAGTGAACAGCGGCAGTCATACACCCGATTGCCGTCACCGAATAAAAATGATGAAAGCCGACCGTAACGTTCGTGGATATCAGTAACAAAGGAAATATGCAGCAGCTTGCCGTCACCTCGTAACTTAACTTTGAATTCTCAAAACGTGCTCAAGTATATACCCACCCGCTAGATCATCGTCAGGAACACCTCGCTCTCCGGCATGTTTCGCAAACTGACGACGTCCCCGCCGCCCTCCTCTGTTACTATCATCCCAACTCTTTTGTTTCTCTTGTTCTTTTTGCGCCGCCGCCTCGCTTCGTCGGCGTGCTCGCCGTTGCTGTCGTAGCCGTCGCCGCCGCCTATCGACGCGCTATCGCCCTCGCCGGACTTCGCCCGCTCGATGCGCCTCCACAGCTTCTTCGCGGGGTCCGGCTGCTGCAGCAGGGGGTGGATTGGCGACGCTGCGACTACAGTGACGGGACTGCTGTCTACGCCGTCGCTGTCACCAACGCCCCCGAAGAACCGGCGTACGCTACCACTGGACCCCTCGTCGTCAAAGAGTACCGGCGAGGCAAGCGACTCGTTCGCAACGCTAAAGCTATCATTGGTCAGAGCGGGCGTCGACAGCGCGGAGGGCACATCGTCCTCGCCGCCACTCTTGCTACCACTCTTGTTACTCTTCCGCTCAAAGCTGAACGGACGAGGCTCGTCAGCGTCGGTGTCGTCCCCGCGGCCGTTGAAGCTGACGTCGCTAGCCGCGCTGCCGAATTTCAGGACGCGCCCG